AAGCGTTGGCAATCAATGTCTGGGGAATGCACACCATGACAATGACGGGAAGGATACCGGTAATCATGGGGCTTATCTATTAAGTTTTCCATTAATTGTCCACGCATTCCCCCTCATGAACTGTCAGTACCTTTTCTGTCTTCCTGGCTTACCTGTAATCGGTTTCCGGGCTGATTTGGGTGGACGGTGAGTGTCAGGGAAGAAAATATTTCATCTTTTCGTAAAACCTCGTTTTTGCATCCATTGCACTTAATCACCGCCTGCTCCTTTCCGAAAAAGAGGTCACTGAAGGGGGAATCTTCTGGATTCTGGAAGATAATGTTATCGCTGTTGTATTCAGTGTAGATGGTTTCATAATCTTTATAATGTAATTATTGCAAAATGAAAAGAATTCCATACACACACACGAACACACATATATACATACAGACAAACACACACACACACACACACACACACACACACACACACACACACACATATATATATATATATATATATATATATATATATATATATATATATATATATATATATATATGTATGTATGTATGTATGTAAGTAACCCAGCTATATCTATATCTAATTACTATATACATATATATATATATATATATATATATATATATATATATATATATATATATATATATATATATATATATATATACTTACATGTTTGTCACATACGTATCTTCACACATACATATACATATGCATATAGGCCTGATCATTGCTTCCTCTGTTCATTCTCTCTTCTTGCCTCACCAGACATTAGAATGTTGTGTTGTCCACAAGAGCTATGTATTGTTGTAACGCTTCCTTGTTCATCACCGTTCGTCACATGCTAACAACGTGACTTGGTGCGATCTTTAAACCAGTGTATAGGCGATCAGGCAGACTCCCTGCGGGGAGCCAATGAGCAACACCTCGCTCCGAGGAGCTGCTGAACTCCAACATCTTATTCAGTAAAGGAGTATATATATATATATATATATATATATATATATATATATATATATATATATATATATATATATATATATATAGAGAGAGAGAGAGAGAGAGAGAGAGAGAGAGAGAGAGAGAGAGAGAGAGAGAGAGAGAGAGAGAGAGAGAGAGAGAGGAGAGTCATGGCGCACTAGAGAAACCCTTCTGCAGTACAAAATGTAAATGGAAATGCTGGGGAGAGGGGAACTGCCCCTCCCACCCAGGGGAGGGCAACTGCTGGGGCTCAGGTTGGGAACGTGAGTTCCTCGTCCCGCCTGCGGTCTAGCAGCCGCCACCCCGATTTGGAGCCATAGGGCAGAGCCCTTGAGAACTCCACAGGCGGACGATGGGTCCTACAGCCTGCTGCCCTCTTTTATATGGGGTAATGTCGGTGGGGGAGGCAAAAGTGGCGGAGCAACCGCCTAAGGTTTAACCTCATGCAGCCTCTTTGGGTGGGAGCTTGGAACATCCGGTCTTTACAGCAAGATGAAAGATTACCCCTGCTATTGAGGGAACTGAAACAGCTGGGAATTGAGGTGGCTGCCCTCTCAGAGGTGAGGAGACCGGACAGTGGCACGATCAGTATGGGTGGGTACACCTATTACTGGTCGGGCCAGGGCGATGCTCATCATCTCTAGGAGTAGACATAGCCATCTCCAGTCGACTTCAACCTTCGGTAGTAGAGGTGTCTCCGGTTGATGAGCATATTATGACATTGAGACTGAAGTACGCCTTTGGCTTTGTGTCTCTTATTGATGTGTATGCTCCAACTGATGTATGTAAACTCGATGTGAAAGAGGCGTTCTATGCCAAACCTTCATCTGTGGTAGACAAATGCCCCGGTGAGACATTTGCATTGTACTGGGAGACTTCAGTGCATTATCCAGCTGAGATCGAGATGGCTACGAGATGGCATTTAGCAGCAAGACGTTTGAGATTTTAATGAAAAGATTCAATTACCGTGGGGTAAGGGTTGCAACGCAGTTTTTGATATGTAGAGTTGTCGTGCAAAAGGGAATGCGCTCTGCGTATATAGTCAGATCTCCCAAGGATGACAACGTTATTACGAGAAAAAAAAAATGGAAGCCCTTCTAATGAGAAAATTGCCTAATTTTAACTTGAGTGCTGGCCAATGGGGGTTAGATGATCTTACCTCATCACTTGTTATCAGAGCCTTCCCTAGACTCTTCGACCTTGACCCTCCCCCTGAGACCTGATTCAGATCTTGTTCATTCTGTCTCTCTATCTGTATATAAACGTCAAAATTCTCTCCTGGTAGAAGGGAAATCGCGTCTCGGACTTTTGGCTAAGATCGAAGTGTAGAATCTGTCCTCTCCTGGTATCCATTTCGGTTTTTGTCTGAAGAGGAACTCGTAAAGAGTTCGAAACGTAACACTTATTTTCAGTTCTCATTGTGGCTAGTTTCATTTTCATTTTTGTGTACACGTTATTGTGTTTGCCATATGTGTGTGTGTATAACATATAATTCATACATATACACACAAACACACGCATATAGATACATCTACATACACACACAGAACTCGAAGAGAACGTAATAGGAAGACGAAAAGAGGGGGAAAAAAGCAAACGAAGAAGCAAAGAAAGAAAAATCTGAAATCAAGAAGAAGAAGAAGAAAAAAATATATATATATATATATATATATATATATATATATATATATATATATATATATATATATATATATATATATATATATATATATATATATATATATATATATGCATATATGTATACATATATAAATATATATATATATATATATATATATATATATATATATATATATATATATATGTGTATATGTGTGTGTGTGTGTGTGTGTGTGTGTGTGTGTGTGTGTGTGTGTGTGTGTGTGTGTGTGTGTGTGTGTGTATGACAAAACACTTCCGTCAAGGAAAAACACACAGAGAGGAAAAATGCGAAAGAGTATGAGAATGACAAACCGAAGATACCGTACTTTGAATTCCTTCCTCGCAGCAAAGAGGAAAGCGGACAGGAAGTCGTGTGCATCGCGTTGGTCGTTCCCCTCGAAGAGCGGGTCGTGCCTGCACATTGAGCTCTGGAAGGAGAATTTGTTCTTTAGGCAGAGATAAAATATGTCATCATTATCATCCTATTTTAATAGGGAAAATATCCGTACCCAAATGAAAGCCCAAAGTGAATATTTTCATTAAAGCATCAAAACAGAAAGTGACGTAACTTACCTTGAATTCATTCAGAACACCTCCATAATTTCCTCCGTAAGTGAGAGCTCTTACCACAGCGGCGAAAGACTCAGTGACTCTGTCGTGGATGCTTTGGCCGGCCAGATGCTGCCTGGGAACATGGTGTGAGAGATGGAGAAAAGAAGTGTTTATACGTCGGTACAATAGAAGATGATGGAGGTTAGGAAAAAAAAGTTAATAACACAGTGTAACCATTATCTCTTTTCTTTGCATCTTTCTGGTAAGAAATCTTAAAGTTGCACAAATAATGTTTATGACATTTATACACACACATATACAAACACACACTCATACACCCACACACCCACATCCACACCCTCCCACACACACACACTCTGAGGAACAAGGGTTACCTTCCCGAGTCTCCACTAGGAACCCGCGACCAGCGCTCGAAACCTACAACACACTTGACCAGAGTTCTCGGCCCTGAGCAGACCTCCTCCCTGGGGGTCTCTCCCCACGCGCGCCCCGCTCGGCGCGCCTGTAGGGCTCCCCTTTGCACCAGCACGACACAGCCCGCGCCACGCTACCTACCCCTCCTATCAATAAACAGCTGAACCAGAATTGTGTCTCCATACACCCACCAAATCAGGGCAAACACAAAACCCCTGACAACCGGTGGCAAGCGGTGGGATGACACGAACAACAAGCCTCAAAAAAACTGTGAGTACATCATTGGCAATCATTTCTTTTCTTTCACCATTCTTCTGCCTTGTGTGCATGCCGTATTTTTTTCACAAGTGCAGTGATTTTTTTTCCCAAATATCAGAACAAGTGTCTGTGTAAAGTGCATTTTCTTTCCTTCTTTCTGTTATCTACCATGTTTTTTTTCTCATGGTAGATGGTCGCTTTTTTTTTTAGGGAATCCCCATTTTCATCACTTGTGAGAGTGCATTTTCTTTCTTTGGCGTG